CACCAGACCTGCCCCCTGGCCACCTTTGTGGACTACCGCCGCGCCCGTGAGTCCGGCCTCCCCCTCGGCCGCGCCCCCGCCCTCGACGCCGCCTGCGCGGCCGCGCTGCCCGCGCTCGTCGGCCGCGCGCGGTGGCCCGCCTACCGCCGCGCCGGCTTCCCCGCAGACCCCGAACTGCTTTACGTATACGCCACCGATTTCGACGACTTTGCCGTCAAGAAGCCAAAGTCCGAACTGCTGCCCACGAAAGAGGTCGGGGACCCGACCCCCGTGCCCGCCTGGGTGCCGGACTATAATGTGACTGACGCCCCGGGCCCGCCGCGGCGCGGCGTCGCGCTGGAGACGGCGAGCGTGGCGGTGATACGCGCGCAGTACGCGGCGTTCAACTGGCTGAGGGAGCACGTGAAGGAGTTCCCAGTCATCGACAAGGGGCCGTGAGGGCGGGGGAACGAACAGAAACAGCTGCTTTTCTGGGGGTGGGGGCAGGCAGGGGCGCCGCAGGGGCGCTTCCAAGGGGGCCGCACGGCGTCCGATGACGTCAGCAGAGCGGGGGGCCACGTGGGAGCGGCCCCGGCCGCGGCGCCGGCATTGATGCCGTCAGCCGGGCGCGGGGGCTGAGCGGGGCGCCTCGTCTCTCCAGCCGGCAGGCTCTTGCTCCTCCTCTTAGCTGGGGGACTGGCAGAGTGGCCGCAGGCTGCAGCGTTTTTGCGCCCGAGCCGCATGTGGCCGCCCTCCTGGGCATGCGCCGCAACACAGGGCACCCGGTGGGAGTCGGCGCATCCCTGCGCCCGGGCTGCTTGCTTTACCCAGCTGTTGGTTTGCACTTATGTGTGTGTTCGCGTGTGCGTGTGTGCTTGTGCATGCATGCATGCATGCATGCATGCATGCATGTGTGTGTGTGTGTGTGTGTGTGTGTGTGTTTTCATGCATGCATGTGTGTGTGAGGGCGTGTGTGTTATAAATGTGTGTGTGTGGGGGGGGTCAGGTGTCGCATTAATGCTACCCCTTTTGTTGATTGCCACTAGCACTTGCGCCGGCTTTTGCACGCAGCGCAGGGCGCAGCGCCCGCAGCCCCGCCTGCTGCAATACATGCATGCGCGGGCAGCTGCGCGCTCACTCGCCCTCGCGCCTGCCCCGCCGATGCTGCGCCGCCCGCCCCCCGGTCTGCCCCGGCCTGCGAGTGTCCAGTGTGTCGTCTTTGCACCCGCCACGACGTCGCCTTTTCAGGGAAAACGCGTCTTCTTTCCATGATTTGTCACACAATTTCATCGCAATGCCTACAGTGTGCCCGGGCGGACCTTTTCAGAGCACCCCGCTGCACTGGCGCACCCCTGCACACACCCACACACTGCATTTCATCGCCGCGCGCGCTTCCCGCGCGTCCTGCCAGCCCCCTGTCGTTGCCCCCGACCTTGGCCGACCAGCGAAAGAGGGTAACCCCAGCCGACCCCGCAGCTGCCCGCTAGCTGCTGGCCGAAACACCCCATGCCGCGCCCCTGCCAGCCTTGTGTGCGTGTGTGTGTGTGTGGGGGGGGGTGGGGGACCGGGTCTGGCTGGCTGTTTGGTGGGCCTGCAGCTGATTTTGATGTGGATCCAAATGTGTCATCAGCAGAGAAGAGAGCTCACTGGTTACCAAAGTGCATCGCCGGTGGGGACCAGTCAGCTCCCGGACCGCAACAAACACCAGCCGACTATGAAGCCAAAGCGGGCCGCGCCCGAGTGTAAGCTGGGAGGAGCGGCGGCACCGGCGCCAGCTGCGAGGCATGCGGCGCCGGGGCCGCGCCGCTCCAGGCCCCTGTAAGGGCGGGCGCCCCGCCGCCCGCGCCGTCGCGGCACGAGCCGCGCGGGGCGCGCGGCGGGGGG